CTGTGGCGACGGTCGTACAAGGAGAAGCAGAAGCAGAAGCAGAAGCAGAAGAAGAAGAAGAAGAAGAAGAAGAAGAAGAAGAAGAAGAAGAAGAAGAAGATGGCGGTGGCGGCCGGGCGGTATCGTATGGTGGTGGGGTATGGTGGCGGGCTGTGGCGACGGTCCTACAAGAAGAAGAAGAAGAAGAAGAAGAAGAAGAAGAAGAAGAAGAAGAAGAAGAAGAAGAAGAAGAAGAAGAAGAAGATGGTGGCGGCGGCAGGGCGGTACGGTATTGTGGCGGGGTATGGTGACGGGCTGTGGCGGCGGGCTTGGCGGCGGTCCTACAAGAAGAAGAAGAAGAAGAAGAAGAAGAAGAAGAAGAAGAAGAAGAAGAAGAGAGGGGCAGGAGGACGAGGAGGAGAGAAGAAGAAGAAGAAGAAGAAGAAGAAGAAGAAGAAGAAGAAGAAGAGGATGACGAGCGGAGCAGTTTTTTTTTTTTTTTTTTTTTTTTCCTTACCTGTCGTTTATCTCGTGACCTATCGCTAACGAATGTAAAAAAAAAAAGAAGAAAAAGAAGATAGTCGGAAGAGGAGGAGGAGGAGAGAAGAATAAGAAGAAGAAGATGAGGGGGAGGACGGCGACTAGAGATGGTGAAGAAGAAGAAGAAGAAGAAGATGAGAGGGGGAGGAGGAGGAGGACTGAAGAAGTCGTGGAAGAAGAAAAGCAGAAGAGGTATAAGAAGAAGAAGAAGAAGAAGAAGAAGAAGAAGACGAGAGGGGGAGGAGGAGGAGGAGAGAAGAAGAAGAAGAAGAAGAATGAGCGGAGGAGGAGGAGGAGGGAAGAAGAAGAAGAAGAAGAAGAAGAACAGACCGGCACTCCACGTCGGCGGGCGGTAGGGGTTGTCGGCAGGCAGGAGCACTGCGATGGAGGACGCTGGCGACGGGCGACGGGCGACGGGCGACACGACGACGAGGGGCGAGTAAAGCTCCCAGGCAATGGCGACGAGGGGCAGCTACTTCGACGACGGGCAACTTGACGATGAACGCAGCCGGCTACAGCAGGTGTCGACGCCCGTTTGGACAGCGAATGCAGACCGCCCCAGCCAGTGGCTTGTTCAGACGGGGCCTCCGTTTTCTCCAGAAACGAATGGCCCTCTGACCGTTGATCATGGATGATCGACGGCCAGAGGGCCATCCCAAGTTCAAAAAAAAAAAACAGGCCTCACGGGCCCGACGCGCCGTTTTCTGACCGTGGTCGGACGCGGTAGGACCTGGGGAGGCAAAATCTCCCCGAATCGGGGTCGGGAACCCCCCGCCAACAAGGTGTGCTGGGGGGGCCCGGCCCCCAACCGGGCCGCCCGCCCGGCCAGGCCGCCCGGGACCTACCCCGGGCAGGCGCCAGTCGGCCGGGCGGCCCGGATCCCTACGCGGACTTTAATTCCTTTTCATGATTTTCATCAAATTCTCATGGTAACTTAGTTTTAATTCCGTTTCATCAATTTTCATGGTATCTTATGCCGTTTAATTTTGTTCCATAGAGTTTTGTGTAGGTCTCAGGCCTGGGCAGCCCTAAGAGAACGCTGAGGAAGAATGAGGGGGCTTTAATCTGATTCCATTTCCTCCCCCTCCTCCTCCTCCTGCTTCTTCTTCTTCTTCTTCTTCTTCTTCTTCTTCTTCTTCTCTTCTTCTTCTTCTTCTTCTCTTCTTCTTCTTCTTCTTCTTCTTCTTCTTCTTCTTCTTCTTCTTCTTCTTCTTCTTCTTCTTCTTTTCTTCTTCCCCACTTGTATCTCATCCCTCATCCCTCGTCTCTCATCTTCGTCTTGTCCCACTTGTGTCTCATCCCTCATCTTCGTCTTGTCCCACTTGCGTCTCATCCCTCATCTTCGTCTTCTGGCCCACTTGCGCGTCATCCCTCATCTTCTTCTCTGTCCCACTTGCGTCTCATCCCTCATCTTCTTCTCTGTCCCACCTGTGTCTCATCCCTCACCTCCATCATCCATGGTTTGTCTCCCCGTATGTGTGAGTCAAGTCCAGAGTCAGATGAGTCAGATTGCACGCCTTGCCCATCTCATGTGTGGTGATGCATGTGCATGTCAAGTCCAGAGTCAGATGAGTCAGATTGGTGCTTTTTCAGTCTTCCGCTACTGACATTGTTGTTTCTCCACATTTTCTGAGTCAGATAGGCATGCAACATGTAACATCTTCCTGAGCGTTTCAAGCGGTGAAGGGGAATGGTCACAGGGAATAGATGGGAGCTTTGCATGGATGAGGTGGGCAAGAAATGGAGCAAGAAGGGGAATGGTGGCAGGCACTGAGTAGGAGCTTTTCAAGGCTCAGAGCCAGAGAAGTCGGAGAATCATGAGTGTTTTCCCAGGAAGAAAGATGGTCTCAGCAAAGACACGAGAAAAAGCTATTGAGGGAAACATGAACAGAAAAGAAAAAGCTCTCATGCATAAGTTATGTAGACCAAGGACCAACACTCATCGTTTACGGCATGGACTACCAGGGTCATTTTGAATTTAAATCAAAAAAGTAAATTGATATGTGTGTCTGGCTTCATGCATTGCATACTGGATTTTTGTGAAAACTTTGGCTATCCGTAGCAGTGCTGGATGTGAATGGCATGCACTTGCAACTGTTTGCCGTACTATGCTGTTGGTTCCTTCTCACATATTTCTTTGGAACCTGATGCATTGACAATCTGCATCATTGTTGGATGAATGTTAGAAGTCTATTTGTGTAAGCATGGAGTGGCATGGCTCGAGTAGATCAAGGCTTGGCATTCGGCCCTTGGCGCAGGTTGATCAAACCGGGATGTACATTGATCCTACAGCGTTCAGCAAGATCGTAAGACGATGGTACGCTTTCCTCTTTATCTGTCTCTGTCATCCCTCCTCACCTTTTGCTTTTGGAAGGGGTTGATAGGCCCGTGTATCATTCTATGGAACAGGATTTAAACGCTTCTTCTTGAAAGAGTCTTAACATGTTGATGAGTGAGTAGTTCAGATGCCGACTGTTTTTGTTCTCATTGCTGCTGCTGCTGCAGCTGTTGTTGTTGTTAATGTTGTTGCCGTTGGCATTGTCATAGTTGTCGGTGCGTTGTCGTTGTTGTCGTCGTCGTGGTTGCCGTTGTTGTGGTTGTTGTTGTTGTCGTTTTTGTTGTTGCCATTGTTGTTGCCCTTGTTATTGTTGCCCTTCTTGTTCTTGTTGTTGTCAGTGTTGTCGTTGTTGCCATTGTTGTCGTTGTGGTTGTCGTCGCTGTGGTTGTCGTTGTGGGGTGGCTGTGGTTGTTGTTGTTGTTGTTGTTGTCGTTGTTGTTGTTGTTGTTGTTGTTGTTGTTGTTGTTGTTGTTGTTGTTGTTGTTGCTGCTGCTGCTGCTTGTGCTGCTGCTCCTGTTGCTGTTGCTGTTGCCCCTGTTGCTGCTGCTGGTGCGGGTTGTTGTTGTTGGTTGTGATCATCGTCATCATGGTCTTCTTCTTCTTCTTTCTTTCTTTCTTTCTTTCTTTCTTTCTTTCTTTCTTTCTTTCTTTCTTTCTTTCTTGTTCGCATTCTTCCTGCTGCTCCTCCTCCTCCTCCTCAACTCTGCAACTCTCCATTCAACCCCATAGTGCTCACCCACCACTCCACCAACTTGCGGAGATTGCCAAACAGAGGCCCCAGGAAAAAGATGTTCACTCTGCTCAGAGTAGCTCGAAGAGGGGTTTTGGCCTCGCTTCCATTTTTTTAAAGCCGTAGGCCCATTCGATCCTGCTCTCCCGCTACCCTACTAACTTTAGAATACCCCAGCCGACGGTCCTACGGGCCTGGGTTCAGAACCCTGCAGCTACAAAAACCGAGTCCTATTGGTCGGCGATTGGATATAGGAAGCTACAATCACAATGAAAATGACAGCAACACGTTGTGGTTGGGCTACGCCCGACATCTGTTGTTGGAGCAGTTTTTGGTCTCATTCTAAGTCAAGCTCCTGTGCTTTCTGGAGGACAGGGAATTGTGAGTCATTTGTGACACTTGGGCAACTCTTGGATTTCCCTGATGAGCAGTGTGGTCCACGTTAAACCACCGGTACCTCCGAGCCTCTTTTTGCCAAGGCGAAAAAGAACTGCACGTCAAGCTGTGCTGAAGTGCCAGTGCAACATTTTTCTTTCCCTTTTGGCTGGCACCTCCAGCCATTGTGCTGCTGTACCACTGTTCATCTGAAGGACCCGGAACGTTACATTTTCAATTTTTGATGTTGCTTCAACTTGCTTGGGAAAGTTAGTGGTGGTTTAAGTCCAGTCCTGCCGCCCTAAGAAGTCTGAAACGCACACTGCACCAGACTGCATAAGTTGTTGTACGTACTGTTTTTCACCTCGATTGACTCGATGAAATGTCTGTTCATCCTGCCATAGGCGTATTAACTTTCAGATTAGAGCACACTTCGATGGCTGAGCGCTCTGTCATTTCTCTAGCTGTACCAGGCTTTATAATCTTGAGGCTTTCACTTAGCAGGCCTCTTGTGATACTTCTTTTTGAAAGCTGGGGGCTATATGGTTTAGCATAAATCTGGTTGCAGCAGCAGGGAAACACTCAGGTGCCATTTGCTTTCGGCAAGTGTCATCGTGTTTGGGTAGCATCGGAGGAGTTTAGTACTTAGTGCGATACTTCCACAGAACTCCTTCCTAAGCAATGCAATCCATGGGAGATCATTGATGTTGGAGGTGATTACCATGCAGGTCTTTTGTGATACTTCTTTTTGAAAGCTGGGGGCTATATGGTTTAGCATAAATCTGGTTGCAGCAGCAGGGAAACACTCAGGTGCCATTTGCTTTCGGCAAGTGTCATCGTGTTTGGGTAGCATCGGAGGAGTTTAGTACTTAGTGCGATACTTCCACAGAACTCCTTCCTAAGCAATGCAATCCATGGGAGATCATTGATGTTGGAGGTGATTACCATGCAGGTCTTTCGTCCATCCTCGATGTTCACCTGGCTTTTCATGCTTCAAAGCTGACTCACTACATTCTGGCATTTGACTATTTCTCAGGTCGTCAATGCATAGGAGCATCCCTTGATGAATCATTCCACAGGGATCAAGTGCGTTTTGGCAGGTAAGAGGGTGGAAAGTAAGCTAAGGAATTGGTATTTGCAAGGCCATCTGCGTACAGATCATTGTCTTGCCTAAGAGGATCTGGAGTCCTTTGCTATGCAGGGTTATATACCTCCTTACTGCAGTCTTGCCCTTGGCTTGAGCAGCCACCTCCACCACTTGACAGGCGTTTTCAACCCTTGCAGGATATCAGCTTATTGAAGAAGA